CGGCAGGATGTCGGCTTTTGAATGCCCTTCTTTTCGATCTCCTGCAGAAACCACACCCGGTGAAAAATGCCTACTAAATTAGCATGCATTTTTCGCACTGGTTTTCGATGGTCTTATAAATTCAAATATATTTTATAAAAAACATGCATAAAATATGCTTTCGTTTGCTTATTTAGAAGGAAATCAGATTGTCTTCATATTTTATACCCGAAGTCACGTCGACATTACATTTTATGCTTGAAGACAGAGTTTATTCAGGCTTTAATAAAGTTGTCCAATCCTCAAATAATTTTAAGCCGGATTAGCCGTTGCATTAGCGCTTAGCGATTTAATTCTACAAGGCGCATGCTTTCTGTGTGAGGAAAAAAATTTGTTCCTCTATGTCTTTAATGAATTTTTGCAATGAGTGCGGACTATGTTATACACTTCATGAGGAGCAATGATAAACCGACAGGTACGATGTTGTATGAATGTACATTGCACGGTCATACAAATCGTACAATTAAAGACATCTTTAAAACCTAAGTATACCCTCTCTTCAAGCATAAAATATAAAGTTGACGTGACTTACCACCAACTGAGTAGAAGAAGGCATATTTTTATGCATGTTTTCTAAAGAGTATATTTGGATTTATAGTACCATCGAAAATCAATGCAGAAACGCATGCCAACCAATTAGCCATCCTTTACCGAGTGTGGGTTTTGCAGGTGATTGAAAAGAAGTGCATTCAAAAGCCGACATTCTGGTGAGTCCGAAATATTACTGGATTACGCCGCGTAATAATCAGTACTACAACCCCAACTAAGTAATACTTCGAAATCGAAAACGCATTTCAGAATTTCGGCCAACATTCCATGAGATCGGTCACGCACTGTAGGTGCGGGGCCGGGCGTGTCAGGCACCTGCGGCCCCTCCCACCTCTGATCTTCTTGACTTGGTCGTGACACCTGGTCCAGGTGGGAGAGGAGAGGGTGCGATAGACGCTGAGCAAGTCCTCTATCACTACAAACTAATCCACGAGCAAGTCGCCGTCTGCCCTCTCACCCTGCTATGGAGTGCATGGTGAACTTCGTCGAAATCGACGATTAAACTGTCGCGTCGCCCTTAAATGTAATTTTTCGGTGCAGACAGTCATACGAGCGGACAAGGTGACATCTGACTGTACGGTGTAACTGGACTTTATTTTAAGCGAGGGGTATGAGGACGAAGGATTTAGATTCCTCTGAAATTGTGCATGAGAGGAGCTGCATATTTCAGCAACGAATCCTGAACTAATTGGACGATATTTGGTCAGAGAAAGGATTGAAAGGGGAATTCAGTCACCTAAATTAAGGCAGTGGCCACCGACATACAGTAAAATATTGCAGCAGAGCACAAAAATGGCTCATTGAAAAGGTACGGGAACCCTCCAAAAAATAGATAATCGAAGTAGATAAAATCTCGACGACCTGAGCTCGAGGGACAAAAGCAAA